TATTTACTTTGTTTCTTATTTGTTTTTCTTTGTGTTCTTCTTTTTCTATTCACTTTTTTCCTGTTATTTCTTTTACCATTATTATTATGCATTTTATTGTTATTTCATTCTTTCTTTTCTTTGAACTTGAATATCTGTTTGTTGTTTGATTTTCATTACAAGAATCTATGGTATTACTCAATTCCATGGCAACAAAATTTGTTGTATATTCTGCATTGATAAAAGGATCTCAAGAAATAGAAATAGAATAAATAATAAAAGAAATGATTGAAAATAAAAAAAGTAATAATAATAAATAATAAATAATCTATTTTAATTTAATCTATTTATAATAATTGATAAAAATAAATAATCTATTAATAATTAGAATTGAACTAATAATTGGCACTTGAAAATGAATGAATGATGTTTATAACAAAACAAAAAGTATAAGAAACAAACTAAATAACAAAGAATAAAAGAAGATGAATATAAACAAAGAAGAAAGAAGTGAAGTGTTTAATGAATTACAAGAAACAAGTAATGATGTTAAGAATCAAATTGATGAAATCATGAAAAGTGTACGAGAATATAATGAGAATTGGGAAAACAGAATTGAAGAAGAGATAACTGATAATGAAAATGAAAGTCCAGAAGATAGAATTAAAAGAATCGAAGGAATTTGTGATAGAAAAGAAGAAATAATTAGAAGAAATGAAATAGTTAAAAATAAAATAAAAGAAGGAATGATGATGTTAAATAAATTAAAGAATATCTATCAAGTAATTAATGAAATTAGATATGAAGATAAAGAGATATTATCAGAACAAGTTGATACTATCATTACAAAAGTGATGGAAGCACAACAAATAAGAATTGATAAATTAATTGAAGAAAATAAAAGAAGGGCAAACCGATATAAAGGAGAATTAGAAGATATTAGAATAGAATGGGAAAGTAAAAGAATTGAAAAGACATATCCACCAAAATATCAAATCGAACAACTAGAAGAATAGACATCAAGAGAAGTAGGAGATATACTATTTGATTCAGATATTGATGACTGGAATCAGGATACATCAGTATTTGATCAAAGAATAATAAATAAAGAACATATAATAATTATTATTGAAGATACAGATGGAAATAAATTTGGAGGATATGTTAATGTGAAAATTGATAAAGTTGATGAATATATAAATGATCCAAAATCATTTTTATTTTCATTAGAATCAAAAGGAAGAATACAAGGGATGATGAAATTTGATATTAATCAACCACAATATGCATTTTGTTTATATGACCAATCAAGTATTTGTTTGTTTGAATTTGGATGTGGTGATATTTTTGTTTATAAAGAAAATAATAAAACATATTCATGTTGTAATCAAGATTGTTTTGAATATAAAGAAATATCAAATGCAATTTGTGGAAAACAAATTCTAGAATATTTCACACCACAACGAATTATTGTAATTGAAATGAAATGATTTTTATTCATTATTGTTTATTTGAAATGGCTACGAAAAAAGGAAATAAGAGAAAAAGGAAGAGAAAAATGAAGAGAAAGAATGGTATAAAAGAAAAAATTGAAATTATGAAGTAGAAGAAGATGAAAAGAATAAAAGTAGAATGTTGAGAATATAAAATGAAAGAAGATAAAAAAGAATAATTCAAAATGAGAAAATAAATGATGAAAATAATGATGAAATAAAAGATGCATTTTTTATTATAGAAATTAGAAATATGCAATAAAAAAATGGTTTAATTTATTGATGCAAATTATTTAACATTATTTTATTTATGCAATTTATTTTATTCTTTTTTATTTTTATGATTTTTATTTATATATATTATTTATTATCTTTTTTTCTTTTTAATATATTTATTATTTTATTTTATTATTTATTATTCTTTTATTTATTTTTCTATATTCTTTTATTTGTTCATTTTTATTATATTTATGAAATATTTCATTATTATAAATTAATTTTATTATTTAATTATTTAAATGAATTATATTAAAATGAATTTATTTTATATTTTATTGTTTTCTTTTATCTTTATTTTATATTTTAATAATTTCTTTAATATTATCATTTTATATTATTATTATCTTTATTGTTTCATATTTTTATTGTTTATTATTATTATATTTTTCATTTCTTATTTTATTTTAATTTATTATTAATATTATTTATATTTCTCTTCTTTCTTATTATTATTCTTTATTCTTATTATTTATTTATTTCTTATTTTTCTATTTTATTTATTTTCATTTGATTCATATTTTCATTTCTTGTTTTGATTATTTTGATTTGATTTAATTTTAATTTTTATTATTTAATATATTTTTGATTATTCTTATTTATTTATCATTTATTTATTATTTGTTTTTATTATTATCATTTGATTTATATTTATTATTTATTTCTTTTATTATCTTTCTTTTCTTTATTCTTTATTATTTATATTATATTCTTATTTCTTATTATTTATTTTTGATTTTAAATGATTGTTTCAATATTCATCATTTTATTTATATCTATTATATTAATCTTATATCATTAAATTCTATCATTAAATATTGAATAATCAATGTGATATAACAAATAATTTAATTAATATATCATTATAAAATGAAATAATTAATAAATGATTTCATAATAAATATTAAATTCATTAAATAATGAATAATATAATATAAAATGATAAATAAAAATAAAAATGATAATAATAAATAAATAATAATACAAAATATAAATAATAATAAATATAAAAATGATATAATACAAATATTAATCAAATTAATATATAAATAAAAATAAATAATAATAATAAACAAATAATAAAATTGAATATATTTTTTATTAAACAATCGAATAAATAAAATAAATAAAAATATAAATAATAACAGATAAGAATAAAAGAAATATATATAATAAATAAAATATAGAAAATAGATAGAAAAGAAATAAAAAATAAATATATAAACTAAATATAAAGATATAGAAAGATAAATAATATACAATATAATATAATAT